AAAAAAAAAAAAAAAAAAAAAAAAGGAAAAAAAAAACGCAGGAAACAATTCTTTTCTTTTCTGTAAAATTTGAATGTCTTTATCGTTACCAATTTGTGGTAACCAATATGTGATTTCACTCAACTCGTGTCTTTCGAAGTTATCATTTTTGTTTCGTTTAAAATAATGTATTTGATTACGCTTATTATTCCTTCTCGTCTAAGGGAAGAGAAAACGAGAGATAAAGTAATTCAGAGTGCCATTGAAATATCGTGGAACGTTATCGTGGTAATCATATGATGAACAATTTTGGAAAAGAAAATGATATAATGGGAAAATGATGATTCAAAATGATGGTGATTTTTTATGGGAAGGGATAGGATGAAAAGAGACAAAAGAGTATAAATTCAATATCTATGTCAAAATAATTATCCGAAATATCTAGTAAATGTGGTCATAACTCTGAGGATTAATTTAACTTTAAGCAGCGACGACCGTCGGACTTTTATAACTTTTAAACGTCCACGTGTGTATTTGTTCGATTCTCTAGTCTATCCGATTCTAGTCTTGTTATTTTTTCTACCTTTTCATCGCATCTATCATAAAGAAAAAGAAGGAGAACGAAAAAAAAAAACCTATCGTAAATAATACAAATTCTGCGTAACGATACACGATCGGTGATCGCTTGATCGATTGATTTGCGAACATTAGAATATGTAGATAGTTACCTACCGAAAAAAGTATCCACGTACATAAAACGTGTACGGAGGAAAAAAAAGGAACGTAATTCAAGATTGAAGAAGAGACAAAGAAACCGATATTAAACGAGTATAATGAGTGTTAACTAGGATTAACAAATTGATATATTCGAGTATTATTGTATAATGCAATTTCGAAAAGAAAAAAATTCTTGTAGCATAGGATTTATTAATAATCGCATCGTTGACCCAATATTTTTCACCGTTATTCTTTATCGACACGTTATTATTATTTATCACATGCTCAATTATTCTATGAATGTATATTTATATATCGTTATGTTTGTCATTGTTTCGTCCGTTATTTTATTTATTGTAACGGGAAATTTAATCATATTACCGTTATAAACGATATCATTAACGTCATTGCGTATTATTATATATAATATATCACGATTGATGTTCATCGTTGCGATCGTTATTTGTAATTATCGTAAATCGATTATTCGTGCGCAATATTACGTATTTTTTCAATTCAAACAAAAACTCGTGCGAGATAATAAAGACAGAAGAATATGAAAAAAAAAAGGTAGAGGAATGCAGAACATAAAGCTTTATTTACAAAACGAATGCACGACGAATTTTTGCTATATATTTCACATAAAGGATTAAAGGAGGGTAGGAGAGGAAATATTTAATAAATAATTACAATCGATTCTATTATATATAGGTTTTACAAACACGCAATAAACTTTATCTTCGTTATCATAATGAAGCGAAAAAATCAAAAAAGAAAAAAAAAGAATTTATGAAAAATTATAAAACAATTAATACATATATATATATATATATGTCTTTTTTTTCATCGTAAAAAATTTACATTGTACAATGAAAAATGAATGAAAAAGTTCGCTTACTATTTACATTTTCTTAAATATACTATCGAAAATGCAAATTTTAATAACGTAATCGTGATTATTTTTTAAGTAAAATATTGATTTACTTACATGTACAGATGCATGTACATACATATAAATCTTACTCATATAATTATGCTAATATGCATAATAAGAATAATCAGATGAAAATAATTTTACAGTTCAATGGTCGCAATGATATAAACATCAATATATTATTACTATAAAATCGCAAATGCACACATAATAAGTACATTGATTATTGATAAATTGTTTCTATATAATCGTAAGCGTAATTTATTAATTATTATATCGTAACGACGATTGATTATCTGATTTATCGGCTGTGTTTGTAACGTACGTGATTAAGTATTAAATTATCAACTTAAATAGCAAAGTAATAGTTTTCAGAAATGATTTCCTTCAAACATTTTTTGAGATTTTTCTTATTTCTATATTTTTAATGCATAAATAGATAAAAAAAATAGGCCATTTTTTTTATATAAAATTAAAAAATAACTTTATTTAATTATTCGTGCTTAACTCTACTTAGCGCAATGTACGATTTCTTTGTAGATACATCATGCCAACCCACTGGACCTCTTTCACAATCAGCACATGCTAAATATTTTACATTGTCTACTGTATGAGAAACACCAATATTTTCAAATGTGTACATATCCTCCACCAACCAATAATCGGTTATCAGTTCTTGTTGATCAGCTTCACCCTCTCCCTTACGATGTATATAGGGTAGATTAAACTAAAATATTATATCACACAGCTTAGTTTAACTATTAAATATTTTGCACTCCGTTGTATTTTATATTTAATAAGAAAATAATAGAAAAAGAACTTAAAACTAAAAAATAGAAGAAAAACAAGTATACAAATTTTAAGGTTAGGTTTCTAATAAAATATAAATACAACAATTATGCAATATTTATTGAAATTTTGATCAATATTATAACTTTTATATAATTTATATATTTCATATTAATTTTTCATATTAAAACTGACAAACAATTACCTCAATATTAACTAGCCGGGCTACACCAGCATTAAGCATTTTTGATGGACAAAATGTACAATAAACTTTTAACTTGTTTTTCTCATCTTGATCCTTTAATATATTGATATCCTTGTTTGCGGACATGTCTTTCTATTTCAAATGTTTGACATTTATAAATATAAAACACTATTGACATTAATAATGTTGACACTTGAAACAAAAATACCACATGTACTGTAATCTGTTATCGCAGCAAGAAATACTCGATAATAATTCGATAGTCGAATATCGAACGATAAAATTTCTTTTATCGAAGACAGCTTCAAAGCAATATGTCAAATTTTATTTATTTTATAAAAATAAAAAATGTAAATAGAAATAAATCTTTTCCGAAAATATTTTAAATATTTCCATGAAATTTATTACGAAATATTAATACAAAGTAAAAAATTCATTTTTTTTATAAATAATCCAATCTGTCGATATGTTTCTTCAAAATTTTATTTTTACAAAATTTAATCATTTATTGTAAACTGTAATAAAATCATTTGTTCGTTCCATTTTTTTTTTACCTATTAATTTCCAACCATACTTATTAAATGCTTTATCAAATGGCATTGGATTTGTCCATCGATATTCTCCTGTTTTTGGTCCAATAACGAAGATAAGATTTCCTTTATAATCTTTCATATAATTATGAAAAGCGGATGCGTCATTGAAATAACAAAATAAAAGAGCATATTTATCCGGCAAAAGAAAAATATTATCTTCACGAATGAAAACAATATTTTTTAAAAATAAAGGTGGTGAATATTTACTACACCACCATGAGCGATCTAATTCTATACCGATCACGTTTAAACCTTAAACAAAATTAAAGATTTAATTTTTATTAAAAAAAAAAATTAATTAATAATCAATAAAAATTAGATTTTTATAAATGACTAGACGTTATAAAAATATTTTATGAAAATATCTTACCAGAATATTGCTCGAACAACCATTCTAATAAACCACAACCGCATCCTATGCTAATTAATCCAATCATATTATTTTGATCAATTACTTCTTTTATCCATTGTAAATCATTAATAGTTGGTAGAACCCAAAATAATCTGCTTTTATCTAATTTAATTAAACTACAATTTAAATTAATGATATCTATCCATTTTCGTTCATTATGAAGTGTTAAAATTTGTTCGTCAATATTTTCATTAACCATAATTTTAATATATAACAAGATATCTTTAAATCGACTAATAAAACACTGCTTTTATCGAGAATATATGTACTATTACTTATTAATAACTCACAATATAATTCGCAAATGAAATTTTAGAATTACATAATTCGTTAATATAGATATAAACATTGATGACACACATTAATAATCGATAATCGTCTATAAAAAAAATCTATAAATAAATATATATTTCATATAATTTTACATATAATGATAATAATAACTTAATATTTAAATAAAAAAATTTATTTAATAAAATATCACTTTTATTCCAAAATTCATTAATTACAATTTAATCAATTGAATAAAATATTAATAATTTATTGAATTACCTTACTAAGGCACTTTTGAAAAAACATGTAATATACATCACAGTTGCAGGCACTCATACATATATATTTAAAAAATTATCTTATTTTTAATTTAAATCTAATTTTTGCATTGCATAATGAATATCATCTGTTGAAATGTTTAATAAAATCTTTTGATATATATCGTTTCTTGAGTGTTCACATATTAATAATCTACTAGAACCCAATCTTCTGCAAATAGCAAGTACTTCTGTTACAGTAGGTATCTCAATACCTGCACAGATGAATAAATATATGATAAAAAATATCAAATTTGTAATTTTTATATATTTTACTTATCATATCGATATATTATTGAAAATATGAATAAACAAACCATCAAAAGAACACAATGATTCAAGTTGCTTATATGCATCTTTAAAATATACTTCTTCAATCGAAGTTCGCATAATTTCTGAAGATACTGCTTGCAAAAATATTTGTTCCATTTTTGAGCAATGTTTTATAGCTTGAACTTTCGCAGATGCAATCATTTCGGATACAGCTTCTGTTACATCTTGAAGAGAGATCGTTTCTGCATTTCGCGATTCTGCAATTTCTATAGAACGACGACATATATCTAAAGCTCGTCTAGCATCTCCAGATACAGCAGAAACCTTTCTAGAATAAAATATTTTATAATATTTGCTAAACAATGAACTTTATTACAATGCAATAATACCGTGCAACAAGTTGTACAGCTTCACTTCTAAAACCGTCGAAATTTTTAAGTCGAGACATAACTATTTCTTGTAATTGTTTATAATTATAAGGTTGAAAAGTTAATCGTGTTAGACCTAAACGCGATGTAACACGTCCCATTAAAACTCTCTCAGGTAAATCCATAGTATTGGCTATAGTGACAACAATTAACTGGGCTGTTGATTTTGTGGGCCAATCCAATAGATTATAAACAACATCTTGTCTTTTTGTGCACAAAAAATCAAGCTGCAATAATAACATATTAAAAATTAACAATGATAATATAGATAAATAATATAAAATATTAAAAAAAAATCATACTTCATCTACAAGAAGTAATGTCATTTTAGAAGTAGTATTATGAAATCTTTTTTCAAGTATAGAATATGATTGTTCCCATGTAGCTGTTTTATTATATAATTGTTTTAAAATTTGTACATAAGCTTGTCGTGGTTCAGTTAATTTCATGCCATTAATTGTAACATAATCAAATTCATCTAATTGGCCTTTAAGTATCAATTTTTGTAAACATCTAATAGCTTCATTTACAGTTGCAGTTTTACCTGTACCTGGTACTCCACTTATATATATACATCTACAAATTTTTATAATTAATTAATTAAATTTTTTTAATAAGCAATATTTTTGACATACCCTCCACTTTTATCCTCCAATTTTCCTCTAAGAAAAGTAAAAATGTTATTAAATTCTTCTTCCCTACAGGGTAAAGATTTTGGTATAGCACTAACATGTAATCTAGATCTAGCTTCCTGTAATGGTGTACTAGGTTTTAATAGAACATTATTCCGTTTTACTAATGATGGTGTTAAATTGCTACATTTTATTGAATGAGATTTTGGAGTATTTAAATGAGATTTCTGTTGTGATTCTATATTTTTTTCATTTTTTATATTATTTTTTTTAGTAGATGAAATTTTAATACGTTTATACATGTCAGATAAACATTCATCTTCAGTATCACTATTATTTTTATCAACAAATTGATCATTTGTTATTATATTTCTACAAATCATCTTCTTTTGATTATCCATTTTAAAAGAAGTAGAATTTTTAATTTTTACTTCTGATGAAATTTTAATACGTTTATACATATCAGATAAACATTCTTCTTCATCATTACTATTACTAATATCAATACATTGAATCTTTTTTGGTGTTTCACATATCATCCTTTTTTGTTTAATTAATTTAACAGGTGTACTGTTTGTACTTGTTGGTGATAATGAATTTTGTTTCTTTATCATATCATGTTGTTTTGAAGTATGATTTAATTTATTTATATTTTTAAATTTATTAGATTTTTTCAAAGATTTTGTTTTCAATATTTCAGTATCTGTATTACTATTCTCATTTTCTTCATTTTTTGTAGAAGAAATACGATTTCGTTTATTATTTTTTATATTTGAACATTCTAAATTCTTGTCATTAAGTTTGTCATTAGAAATATTTAAAGTTTCATTTCTTTTCTGTTTATTTTCATTTTTAATGTTAGATACAATAGAATTGATAAGTAATTTATTCTCATTATAATTAATATTTTTTCTATGCCTTAAAGATGGAGAATTATTTTTGAGATTTGAAGGATTCAATGTATCACAATAATAATAAGAAAGTTTTAAAGGTGGTCTTCTATTTCTATTCTTTCTTAATTGTTCATTTTCAATCTCAACATGTTTCATTTCCTTTTCATCATTTGTTTCAGTTTTTGTAGAATTATCATTGCTGTCACTATAAGATTCTTTTACTTCTAAATTTTTCTTTTTTCTTTCTAAATAATTTCTTCTTTTTTGTTTTCGAAGTCTATTCTGAGATTTAAGATTAGAATTGTCATATTCAGAATCTGTATCAATTTTATATAAACTTTGTTCTGTAGATCTTCTAAGTTTAATTTTAAGAGAAACATTTTTTTTATGTAAAATATTATTCTTTGATAATGCATATTTATAATTTTGAAACACATTTTCTGTATCTGAAGATACATCTGAAATAATTTTTATTATATTTTGAGCATTTGATTTTTTTTTTGTTTGCAATTTAGTTTCATTCATATTATCACATGATTCTTGATCATTATCAGAATTTGATTTTGTATCAAGAATTGTTAGTATTTGATGATCAGAACATTTATTTAATCTTGAAGTCATTTTAATTGTTGTTTACTTGAATTTTTTTTAACAAATTATATTACATATATTTTTTAATAAAATTTTTTTTATTAATAAATTATATTTAATTAATCATAATATGTACTTGATTAAATAAAAAAATATTAAGAAAATATATTATAATTCATGTTATATTATACATTTTTTTATGCATATATATTTTCATAAAATAAATTTATTATTTATTTTTTTAAATAAATATAACTTTTTAGTATTTACTATTGAAAAGAAAAGAAAAATATAAATATCATTAAGCAAAACACTCATAAACATATATGTACATATGTACCGCCAATTTTATTTCTTTAATTTTAATCATGAATAATGTAGTTTATTGAATTGACTTCGTATAATTGATATAATCAAACAAATGTTCTTTAAAGCCTCTAGTGTCAATTATAAAAACTATTGGAATGCATTCATTATTCTTATAAAGATGCATTTTCATCAATATTCACAAATAGTATCAGTTCTTCACGTATAGTATAAAAATAACTTAAAAATCATCTATTCTCATATTTATTTCGCATATTGTTTGCGAACTATTCATATAGAGTTACTGGCAAACATTTTTGAATATCATCTATTGATATTTTAACTATCATGCAATTTTTTCACAAACACTTAATAAATTCATATTTAAAATAAAATTCTTTTTATTTTTAAATTTTATGATTTTTCTGAGTATGAAAACAATAATTTAAATCTAATATTTTTTAAATATAATTAATTATATTTTAATTAATATGATTATATTTTATATTAATTAATTAATATAATTAATATAATTAATTATCAATGTTAGAATAAAATAAAATTTTTCGCAGATTTTTGTGTAGAAACTATTCGATATTTTTTTTATAAATCTTGATTTTTCAAGAATATCAAACACAATATATTGATTCTTTTCAAAAAACTGAAAAAATTAATAAATTAATGTTCGAAAATTATTTATGAATTATTATTATAATTATTATACACAATGTTCGCAAAAAGTTTGAATAATAGTTATAAAAAATTTGCAAATTGTTAGCGAACTATGTACGAAGTGTTCGTGAACTATTCGTTAGTGAGAATGCAGCTTAACGTAATTTGTTTAGTTATCAATAAAATTATTTTTAAAGAATTTTGAATAAACAATTTCTATCTTATTCTAATAATATGGATGAAGAAATGCGTACTCTTTGGTGTGGAAATTTAAGTGAAAAAGTGACAGAAGAAATTCTATATGAATTATTTTTACAGGTTTGTAAATTTATATTTAACAAATATTCGAGAAGATATTTTTCAATTCTCTTTAATAAAATCAACATTTTGAAAAATAAAAAATAATTTTCAAATTTTAATTATATATGATAATTTTATATTTAATATTATATACATACATATGTAGTTTAAACATATATAATTTTATTTATATTTTTAATAGTTTAATATTATATTCTAATAATTATATAATTTAAATTATTGTTTTGAGATTTAGTTATTTTTCAGACTACGAAAATGGATATACTTCTAATGTTGCAAAATATATTTTAAAATTTTATTTTTTACAAAATATTTTCTGCGATGTTATAGGGTGGTCCAGTACAAAGAGTTACTATTCCTAAAGATCGTGATGGCAAACAAAGAACATATGGATTTGTAACATATAAACATATCAATTCTGTATTATATGCCTTAGAATTATTTGATGGTACATCTTTATTTAATCGTCCTCTTAATATGAGCCCAAGGAAAAATGCATTATCACAAATTAACAACTCTCAAGACAATTTTGTTCATTTGAATCATTGGCTTCAATTAGGTCAAGAAATGTTATTAGGAAATGATATGTCTCATTTGAAAGGAGATACATTCGGAATGAATATATCAAATACAGATTCATACATGAAACATATAGATAATTATTCTTATAAAGATGATAGAAGGTCTCGACGAGTACATCCTTATCATAGAGAACAACATAAAAATAGTAACCATCATAATAATCATAAGAATATTCATTATTCCAAACGCGATTATAAAAATATTAGACATAGTTACTCTTAATACATCTTAATTTAAATATAAATAAAATATAATTTTTACTAATATTAGTTTGATAAAAATATTCTTTATTTATTTTTAAAAAAATATCAAATACAAATTCAGGTAAAATTTTTCGTAATCTTGCGTTTTTATTTTTAAAAAAAATTTCTATAATATAATAAAATTTTTTCATTTTGATTGCTATATGAACATAAATGTATTCGATTTATTTTAATCATTTAAATTAAATTAAAATATATATATTAAATAGAAGAATTATTTCCATTTATTAATCATAAGGTATATGATAATAATCATATGGCTTATAACATTTTGTACGATTTTTACGAAATTTTGTATTTTGTTGAATTATATGAAAGGCCCTTTCGGCAGTCATAATAACAGCAGCATTAATATTACCACTTGGTAAAAATGGAAATACAGATGCATCGATTACATATAAATTTGTTGTACCATAAATCCTATAATAAATAATTTATATAACATCTTATATAAAGAATAAAATAGCTTTATAAAAAATTATATAAAATTAATAAATTACTTAAATGTTTGATCAACAACATCACCCATCCGACATGTACCGGCCGGATGATACGAAGTTAAAGTTAAATGTTGTACGTAACATTTCCAATAGTTTGTGCTATCAAATATTTCATTTTCACAGCCAGGAAAATGTTTTTTATAAATAGATGCACCAATACTTTTCATGGCATTGGTTTCAATAAGTTTTTTAACGAATTGCAATCCTAAAAAATTTAATATTTCTGCAATTTTCTAAAATAATCTGTCATATATTATAATAATATTATATTTTATAATATGATAAGTTGAGTAAAATACCATCTATAAGAAGTGCAATATCATCTTCATTTGATAAATATTTTGGATCAATTAAAGGTGGATCAAAAGAATTACTACTTCTCAATTTAATCTCTCCTTTACTTTTAGGATGTAATAACACTGGAGCAATTGTTATTGTATTTTTATATAAATTAGGACCAAAATATTCATTGTATATCTATAAAAATGAATTAATATTTAATTATGTCAATAGATAATATATAAAATTTATTTTAGATTTGTTTATAATGTACTTTTTCAGAAATTCCCATAGTTTCTTTTAAAACAATTCCATAATCTCTTGATAATCCAACTGGCATTACCATTATTTCTAAATCTGGTATACTTGATTTATTTTTTTGAAAAGAACTGTGAAATGTTCCTAAAACTTCAACTCCTGTAAATGTCCAAGGTCCTAAGACAAAACAAGCTGGTATGAGTAATGATAATTACGAATTTTTAACATAATTTTACCTTTTCCAAACATAAAATAATTTAATGCTGACATAGGATTCAAAGTATTAGCCATACTGAGACCTATGCTTACATTAAGCATTATTAGGTCAATTCCAGTAAGCACATGATCTACCAAATGCTGACCTACTGGTAAATCATTAATTACATTTATCTACAAATTACAAATTATTAAATCATTATGAAAAGTTAATATAGAGTATAAAAAGTTCAAAAAAAAATTTACTTTTAAATCTTCTAAGTGTTTTTTTGGTCCAAAACCAGATAACATTAATATTTTTGGACTACCAATTGCACCAGCACACAAAATAACACTTTCTTTTGCGAATGCTTTAAATTTTTTATTTAATGCAACAAATTGTACTCCTACTGCTCTATTTGATTCCATTAATACCTTAAAATAATTAATAAATTAAAGATATTATAATTAGAAGTAATAATAAAAAATTAGAATTATATTTAATAAATTCAAATTTATTTTCAATATATATACTTTCTCAACATGAGCATAAGTAATAATAGTTAATTTATGTTTTAGAGATTTATATAATAATTTATCTGTACTCCATCGTTTTCCATTTTCCATAAATAATTGTACTTTCATAAAACCTAAATCAATAGAATATTTAAATATTTAAATATCAGAAAACTATATTTTTTTTATTTTTTGTTATATAATTACCATTTTTTAAATTATTATTAATATTGCCAATATTTTGTTTTAATTCTTGCAGTCCTTTTAAGATTATATCAGCAAGACCACTATTCCATTCTAAATCACTTATATGCATTGAACCACCTTTCTTTTTGATAGGTTCTTAAAATATTTTCAGAATAATATATAATAATAATTATAGATATAAAATAACAAAAAGCTGAAAATTACCAATAAAATCTGGAATCCAATCATTATAATCTAAAGGATGTCCTCGTACATAAAGCATGTAGTTTAATCTACTAGTTCCACCAAGAAGTTTACCAATTGGCCATTTGCTTTGCTATAAATGAATTCTTAATTATACATCTTATTTCATGACATATATTATTAATTTATATTAATTACTATACATTGTTGTTTAAACCCTTGCAAGCATTTTGTTGAGGTATAGTGATATATTGCCAATCATATGGACTGTTTTGAATTAGAGGAGCTAAAAGTGGAATATCTAAAAAAGGTGGTGCAATTCCTCCAGCTTCGAGTAATAATATTTTATATCCATGTTCAGCTAGTCTTGTAGTTAAAGTTATACCTGCAGTACCAGCTCCAACTAAATAGAAGAATATTTTTATTCTTTATAATATTTCAAACAAATTTATTTTTATAAATGTATATAATTATATTCTTAAAATATATTAACATATAATTTATTAACATGTATATATGAACGTACCAACGATAAAATCATATAATTGGAAATCATTAATATCATTAAAAAGCCACTGCTTACAAATATCAAAAAGATATATAAAATTAAGATAATTAGAAAATATAAATACAATTAAGGTGATGATTGTAAAGTGTAGAAACATGAACATTGTAATAGCTTAATAAAAATTAAGGTTAAGAATAGAACAAAAATTTTTTTCGATACGATAATAACTTTTCGATGTATAATTTCGAAAAAATGAAATAAATGAACCATTAGAAAAAAAGCATAAAAACATAAAAAATTACGAAAATATACATAAATATATTATTGATTAATATTTATTTCGTTGTTATTGGAATGTAATGTAATCAAACATCAATAAGAATTACAAGTATAAATCAGATATTATGTATATATTATTATTATACAAAGATATTTAGAATATCAATTAAACATATTTCATCATTTTTCTATCGAAATTACAATCTGTCCATATATTTTTATATTTTATATATAAACTATAATTTATATATAAATTTTTTATATTACAAATAAATTACTTTTTACAAGGATACATATATTTTCAGATATTTTTATTAAAAATATTAATAATTCGAATATATATTTATAATAATAAAGAAATATAATACATACATTTTTATAATTATATACATTTGCATGTATCTGTAAATAATTTTGGAATAATATTTCTCATGGAATTTTTTTTGTAAGTCTTTTGTTTTCCTTTCCCATTTTAAGCCATTGTTCTTGTAACTTATTATTTTGTTCTTTGGTACGATAATATCTAATAAAAAAAAATAAAAATTATTATTTAAAATTAAAGAAAAATTGCTTTCTTTCCAAGTTTGCTTCTTTCTACTTACTGACGGTATTCTGTACGTGCAATTGTCATTAATAATGTCATTACATTACATGTACCCTCAATATCATATACTGGAACTAAATGGGAAACTTCCAACACATTTCCTGATTCTTCCATCTTCAAAGTTCCATATACTTTAAAAATATCATGTTTTTGCTTAAAAAAGAATTTTTTTATAATATAAAATAATGAGATAATTTTATTGTACTATAAAAATAAGAACAAATAAAAGACAAATAATGGTAAAAAATAAAAGTCATTTACCCATATTACATAATAAGCATTATTCGAATCTTTAATATATATATCATTAACATTTAAGTTCTTGAAACTAATAGAAAATTGAGATTTATTTCCAGGTGTTAAAGATTGAAGCATAGCATATGCTTCAGTTTTTGGAATAAGTTTTCCTAAAGTTTGTATTGTTTTAACTCCATTTTTTTCATGATCTTCTAAAGAAAGATATTTGAAAATATTTTCCACTAGTATAGGAACATATGGAATATTATTATAAAACAAATTATTTCGTGTGGCTAAAGAAATTTTCCAATCTTTACATTGATATGATTCACTCATCTTGAATTATGTGTTCTTCTTTAAAAGTAATAGTACACTAAAAATGCTAACTTTTACATTTACATAAATTTCACCATCAATTATTCCTAAAATTAATTTTTGCATTCAAATATTAGAAAATATAAAAAAATTTTTGTAATTACTGATATCCTAAAATAAAGTTTCAATTTAATGTAATTATGTGAAAAAATATAAAAATATGTTTAATATAAAACTTTTAACTTAATTCAATTTATTTATTTTTGTGTTACAGAAATTTGAAAGTTATTCAAGACAGGATATTCCATATCAGGATATACTATATTTTGCGAGATTATCATCCAAGATATATTGTAATTATATAGCCGAAAAACAAATATAAGGAAAGCAAATAATGAGAAGGACAAAGATAAAATAAAAATAGTAGAATCAATACTATTTCTAGAATGTTGTAAATATATAATGCTATAAACATATAAACAAAATAGGCAAGGATGGCAGGAAGTAAATAGTAGGAAAAAAACTAAAATAAGTAAAAATTGATTTTTAATGCTTTCTTAATGCTTATCTTTTGAATATCAAAGATATCTTTTCAAAAATAAACAAAACAAAATAAAGTAAGAATTAGAAATCAATGTCATCTCGTAAATTTATTTTGAAGAAATATTTACTCAAAAGAGATGGCGTGGACAGTTAATTCTTCCTTTGTTTCTATTCTTTTTTTGCAATTTGTTTCTTTATACATTATATGTATATTTATATATATATATATTTTGTTTTATTTATAATATTTTTTAAATAACACTGATTTCATAATTTTTATTATAACTCTTTTTCTTATTATTTATTCCTTTTATCTATATTTATTCTACAAAATTTATGCATTCATAAAACAGTTTTGATATTTAATTAAAACTATATAAATTGAGAAACTATTAATTTAGAAAATTATTAAATATAATTAAATATCTTCTAATAATTTTTAGATATAAATAATTTAATATTTATAAATTTATAAAAAAAAAATACAATATATTAATATATCAAAATATACAAAGTTCTACTTAAGAAAAGTAATTTGTCTATCATATGATCTATGCATCTATCTATAAAAATATAAATAATATCAGAATATTCCTTTAAA